TCTCTCTCTCTCTCTCTCTCTCTCTCTCTCTCTCTCTCTCTCTCTCTCTCTCTCTCTCTCTGTGTGTGTGTGTGTGTGATGCATACACATGTGTGAAGGTACACATAAACCTGTAGAGGACAGAGCAGAGACAGTATCAGGTGTTTCCCTCTATTGTTTTCTGCCTTATTGCCTTGAGATAAGGTCTCTCACTGAAGCACAAGCTCACCTTTGGGATAACCTGGCTGGCCAGCAAGCTTTTGTGATATCTCCACCCCACACTTCAGTTAGAGGCATACATGGCAATGCCTTGCTGTTTACATGGATGCTGGGGATTCCAACTCAGGTCCTCACAATTATATAGCAAGTGCTCTTAACCTTGGGGTCATTACCCCAGCCTCCAGTCTAAGAAGTCCTGAAGCTGGATTTTTGAAAGTGCTGTCTTGAAAAGCTTCCAGTCTATTTGTTCTCAAATACCTCAATACAATTGAAGTTCTATGTTTCATTTCCTATTTGCTGAATACTATGGCCATTAGATGTTGGGGAAAAATATTTTTTTCAAAGGTTGGATTTTGGAAACCCTTGACTTTATTGGTTTAAAGAGCTTTTACCAAATCTTGCTGGGGGGGGGGGGCAGTGAGGGAGTCCAAAACCAAATTCTAAATCCTAAGCCAGCATATATATCACTTGATAAAATTTGTTCCTTCTTCTGTGTGGTCTGGCTGCTGCTTGATGTCTGCCAAATCATATTTCTCCTTTCTATTTTTATAAAATTGCTTTTCCCTCAAGTGTCCCAACAGATTTCTGGGAAGACAGCATAAGAACAGGTTCTTAATTCTTTTTCTTCCTCTAACACATTGACAAAAGTGATAGAAACAAAAATTGGGCAAAACCTGTTAAAATAAAATGGGCAACAGGACTCTCAAGGAATTTCTGGAAAATATGTTGATAGGGTCATATGAAAGGATATTACTAACCTTAGGAAATTCTTTGACATCCTGACGAGTTAAAAAACCCATGGCACAGCCAACTAACCTGGGCCCATGGAGACTCAGAGAGACTGAACCACCAACCAAAGAGCATGCAGGGGCTGGACCTGCTCCCGCCCCCACACACATGTAACAGATGTGCAGCTTTGTCTCCATGTGGGTCCCCTAACAATTGGAGCAGGGGCTGTCTCTGACTCTGTTCCCTGCCTGTGGATCCCTTTCCCCTAGCTGGGCTGCCTTGTCTAGCCTCAGTGGAAGAGGGTGTGGCTAGTCCTGCTGCGACTTGATTGTGAGAGTGTGTGTGTGTGTGTGTGTGTGTGTGTGTGTGTGTGTGTGTGTGTTGGGGGGGTGATGGGAGGAAGGATTTGTAAGGGTGAGACTGGGAGGAGAGGAGGAAGTGACTCTGCAATAGGGATTGTAAAGTGAATATATAAATTAAGGAAAAAGCATCACTCTGAGGTTAAAAAAAGAACCTCATGGCGCAAACCTATTATGACTTAAGGACAAGGTCTGGACGAGAGAAGTACCTGAAGGAACAGTATAATTTCTATCTTATTTATGCCTCCTGGGATTTTTAGAAGAAAACAATATCAAAGTAGAAAGGTCAAACTTTTTACTTTTACTAAATTAAGATTTATGCTAAACATCATTTAGTAGGTAACTCTAGCTATTTGGCTAGAGTTACTAGCTATTTCATGACAAAGTCTAGATTTGAGTCACTTTGTAAATGTAGACATGGGTCACAGGTCTGTCTCCTCTATTAGGCCCTCATAATAATGACTCCATTTTGCTCTGATCTTGACAGAATGTAAAGCACATTCCCTTCTACAAGAGGGCATCAGGCTCAGCCATATTCAAACACTGGGTCTCAAGTTACACGGAGGCCTGCACCAGAGGCGAGAGTCCTTTTATGAAGCAACAGGATTTGTTTCACTGTTTATCTGTTCCTACTACCTGTCCCCACTCATCATAAATGGAAGTGTATATACCTGTACACACATGAAGGAGAAGCCAAAGGAGCAAATGAGGTTTTCTTGGTGAAGCTCTTCTGCTGGGCCTGCTGCTGGCCTAAGCTCCTACCTCATTACCACATGCTGCTGAATGGAGTCAGTTTGCCATCCAGCAAATTTAAGGAGACTCTGACTCTCAGTAACTGAACAGAGAGCAAATCAGGCTATTCCTTCTTGATTCAATGGTGACAAAGTGCATACATTGTTCAGTAAACGAAAAGAACCCTAAATAAAAAGAGACTACAAGAAAAAAAAACCTGCAATAAAATAATACAAACTATATCACATGAGAGGAATAACAGCTAAAAGTAATTTAAATTGAGGCCAACATACAGGTGTTTTCTTTAAAAAAAAAAAACTATACAGTTGGGGGAATAATAGATTTAATAGGCACAGATCTTTTCTGTAATTACACAGCATACTTAAAATATATACATTTGGCAAAGCTCAAGGATTCTGTTCCTTGAATGTTTTGAATAAACGTATCTGCTTAATTGCCTGAGCCAGGCCTCAGACAGCATCCAGCTTCTCATGTGGTGACAGATTTACTGCTAGTCTCCTATGCCCCCAGTTTTAGTATTTACTTCTAAAATCATTCCCATCATTAAGTTAAATTTATTACTTTAGGCCATCTCTGTGTTGATCTCAAATCCTCACTACCACAGAGCACAGAGATAATAAATTACCATTTCCTAAGCTGCTGTTCTGAGAAATATGGATGGACCAAATACTATTGGGTATATTTTTTAAAAACTATTTAAAAATAATCATGGCCAATATTTACTGTACACCGAGTCTTACCAGGAATCAAATGTTCAGAATTTTGCACTTAACTGGCCATCTCCCAGAGAACTGTTTCTTCACAAAACAGAATTGCTGCAGCAAACACATTCTGACTACAGAAAAAAAAAAAAAGAAAAAAAAGCAAAAGCTTCTCTCATCCTTATTAGCACTGCTACATACTGTGCAGCACATGCAATTAGTGCCCATGCTATACATTTGACAGAGGGCATTCAACTTACCGTTAATAGATGAGCTTAACAGGAAAAAGCCAAAAAAGCCAACCAGAATTTCATGAACTAGGTGCTAGTAATTGTTAATCTAAAATAACGTCTGAAAATAAATTTTCTGTAATAAAATGACCACATGAGCACACTAGAAGCTCCCATTAGTAGCACAATGTGCTTCCTAGTAAAGTACGGAGGAGTGCAAATAGCAAGCTAGTCAGTGAGATCCTGCTTTTAAAAATCCTCCCAGTACCCTATCCCACACCCCAACCAAACAAACCATATAAACCAACATATTGTTTCTAGCAATGAATACTATAGTTTCCCACATTTTTTCTATTTAAAATAAACCCAGCCACCCACATTCCTGATATACTGGTGTGTGTGTGTGTGTGTGTGTGTGTGTGTGTTATGGGGGATGGGGAAAATACTAATTAATAATTGGTTAACCTTTGGGGGCAATAAATTAGAACATCTAAATTTGCAAGTCAAAAATAATTTCCCGTAGAACACCACTGTTAAATAAACACTTGTGAGGGGAGCTAACCCTTCCAGATGTGATTCTAGGGCCAAAAGGCAAAAAGAAAGAGCTTTCTCCATTTTTTATTATTTTTTTATTTTTTTAGTCATTTTAATGCATTTTTCCCTGTGCACAAGAGAAATAACTGATAGAGCCAAAAGATACACTTTCCTTTATACATAGCAGTTAAAAGTAATGCAAACATCACATGACACTTCCAGTAAAAGTTACATTTCCAATTACAAATCAAAATGCATATGAAGATCTCTTCATGGGAGAAGCTGAGGAACTCTTAGGTAAAAAGCACTTTCCTGGCGTCACTACACTGATCCTTCAGGCTGCACAAAGATTAAGGTCATATACAATCAATCTGCAACTGTTGACACAATGTTACACTGTAAGTTTTCTGTACAATTAATGTATACTTAGAGAAACCAGGATAAACATTTCTACTATATTTTAACTGAACTTGCCTAGCCAACATTTTCACTGAGAAATTTATCAAATATGCTGTAAGATTCTACAAAATTGTGAGACATACCTAACTTCAGGAATATTTCTTATATCCTTTCTTATTTTGGTTACACATATTCTGCTTGGAGATTCTACAGTAGGACTTCTAGATGTACAATTCCAATTGTGCTTGCTGTACTGTGTACAAATAGCAAAAACGATCAATGAATGGTATAAATCTTACAGCATTTGCTAGCAAAAATACATGCCAAAGTCACAATAAGCAATATTTTACCACAAATTAGAGAGCTTCAAATAATTTGCTTCTGTTTTTTTAATATCTTCATTCTACATTAAATTACTATCATAGGCTAATGTTTAAAATGCAAATAAACTGGACATCTGTAGGACAAAACTTGTTCACCCAACTGTGAAAGCTGATACCTGTTTCCAAAAATCACAATAAATGCAGAATAAAGAGAAGTGTTTGCATGCAACACCTTTGAGTGAAACAGTATTGATTCCCACCATTCAAATCAGAGAAGGAAAGAAATAAAAAGAAGAAAAGAAAGGAATGAAGGAAGGAAGGAAACAAAGAGGGGAGAGGGCAGGCTGGAAGGGAAGGGAGAGGGTGGGTGGGAGGGTAGGGGGAGGGGGAAGAGGAGGAGGAGGAGGAGCAGGAAGGGAAGGGAGGGACTCCACCTTAAAATGCATCCTATTAGATTTATACGTAGACAGATTTAAAAGAATCAAAATAAAAGTAAAGCACGATTTTGTGAGTTTAAAGATTTAAGAGCCATTATCAAAAATAAGATACATTTTTTCAAGGTACAGAAACGTAATTAGGATGGCTGAGAGCCCAGCAGCCTCTCAATGGCCGCGTTGATGTCGCCTCCTGTTGCTATTAGGGCCTGCAAGTTTGCTTCGCGGTTTAAGAACCCCATGGCGCTGAGCTGTTCCAGTTGCTGCTGAAATCTCACTTCAGGATTCGGCGGCTGTGCAGGGCTTCCTCCGGCGAGAGCCTGCACCATTTGCTGAATGAACTGCTGGTTGGGTCCAGATTCCGATGTTGGACTTATGGTTTCAGTAGGTGCAGAGCTGGGCACAGTGGTTACAGGCGGGATCCCGGTGCCGGTGGAGCCAGGGGAGCTTGCAGGGACAGTGGGTCCTATAGGCCCGATTGGGCCTATGGGGGTGAAAGGAACTATAGGGCCGATGGGCCCTATGGGAGTGACTGGGCCCACAGGGGTTATGGCGGTTCCCAGCACTCCCACCCCCACACCTGGAGTGAAGCTTGGAATGAGGCCAGGTGCTTCAGTGGCTAGAGTCTGTAGCCCCTGCTGGATCTGCAGTAGCGCTTGCATCGCTCTCGGGTTTGACATGGCCGAGGAGGTTTCTGGACTCTGCATCTGCTGCAGGAAACCCGGGATCTGTGGACGAATCTGCTCCTGCAGCTGAGGATTCCCAGTAAACAGTGGGCTACTCAGCATCATCTGGGCTGCCATATCTGGATTCTGGCTCAGCGACTGCATCATGCTTCTCAAGTAGGGTGCAGACAGCATATTCTGAATCAGCTGGGGATTTTCAGTTATCTGCTGCAGCAGGCTCTGCATTCCCGGGGTGCTGAAGATGCTAGCCACATAATTAGCTGCAGCCATGGTGTTTGCAGGGTTCCTGGTCCTGCCAGACCTACTGCCACTGCTTGTGGTCGTGGTGGTGGTGGTCGTCGAAGTGGTCTGGGTAGTTGGTGGTGGTGCCCAAGGATTGGGCAGCGGATCTCGGTTCTCCGTGCGGGAAGGCTGAGTACCTTCCCCTGAGGTGGAATTGCTCCCCGTCGCAAACGGATTGCCTCCAAACTGCTCCTGTGCGGCATTCAGCATGGGTTCTTGAATGTCAGTGTACATGCGCCGCAGAGCATTGTAGCCACCTGGGAGGCTTTCGAGATTACTGAGCGCCAGGTCTTGATTTCTCATCATCTCTTGCATCATGGCAGGATTCCTGGCGATTTCCAGCGTCTGCCTCATTATATCTGGGTTGTTCAGTAGGTGGCTGATCTCTGGGTTTCTCTGGATCAATTGTTGCATCTGTGGATTGGCCATGATGAGCTGCCTCATCAGATCAGGATTCGAAAGCATGCTCTGAACAAAGGGATTTTCCATGATCTGGATCATCATCTCAGGGCTGGCCATGAGCTGCTGCTGCATCTGGTTCTGAAGCTCGGTGAAGTTGGGCGAGTTCAAACCCAGGTTGCTGAGGGTGGGAAGGTTTCCCAGCAAGGAGCTGCTATTATTTGTGGTAGTAGGTGTGGAGCTACTCCTGGTAGCTGATGATGTCGTCGGCGCCGTTGCCGCCGTCGCCGTGGTGGTGGTCGTGGTCATCGTGCACGTTCCCGCAGTCGTGTTGGGCTGCGTGGTGGCCTGGCTCTGCGGACGGTTCTGGTTTTTGATAACCAGGTGAACCGTCAGTCCATCATGGATGCCATGCTGCATCAAGGTATCTTGATCTTTCAGGATTTTTCCGGCGAAAATCAGCACGAGCTGATCGGTCTGCGATTTGAAGCGTTTAGAAATCGCTTCCTTGAACTGCTGCACGGTGCTATTCTCGGGCACCGCGAACTCCTCCTTCTCCTTGGGGGTCTTCACAGTGACTTTGATGATTTTGGGCTCGGCCGGCGGGCTGGCCGCGCCGCCTGAGGCCGCCGCAGCAGGGCCGCGGGAGGGGCGCGGGGGGCCGCTGCTCTCGCCGTTCTCAGCCATGGCGGCCGCGGTGACGCAGGCTCACAGGGAAGGCGCTGGCGAGCGAAGAGGGCGCGAGGGAAGGAGGCGCCGCGGTAGCGGACTGGGGCGGCCCGGCGGGCTGCGCGGAACACAGTACCTCAGGGATGGATGAAGGCTGCGGCTCCTCCCGGTCGTAGGCTGCGCGCTCGCTCGGTTCGGTGTAGGCCTCGGCTGAGGGCTGAGAGAGCGGGTCCTGCAGGCCGTCTCCGCCGCCGCCGCCTTGTGATCTGCCCGCGCGCACTCCCAGCGACTCCTGCAGCTGCGGCGCCCGCGCTCCTGCCCCGCCCCGCCCCCGGCCGCGCCCCGCCCCCTGCTGACGCGGCGCCAGCCCAGCGAGCGTCTCGCGGCCGAGCGCAAAACTCCTGCCCTGCAGAGGGGGGGGGGCGAAGGGGGGGGAGAGGCCGAGGGAGGGAGAAATAAACAAAGAGAGGGGGGAAAGAGAAGGAAAAGGAAGGAGGCTGGAGAGAAAAGCGAGGGGGACCGAGGCGAGGCGGGCGAGGCGAGGGGGGGGGGGGGACGGGAGGAGGAAGAGGGGAGGCAGCTTCTTTAGCAGACGCTGAAAGACCAATGGAGAATGTGGGTTCGCAATCTGGGAGGCAGTGAAAGGATGAAAGCCTGAATTGAACCGATCCCAGGCAAAGGACGAAAAATGAATAGTAAAGAACTCTGACAAAGCAAAAAGGGAGAACGAGCACCCGGGTGGGGGAAGGGAAGGTATGGCGGGAGCGAGCATTTTACAAAAGAAGCCGAGAAACGGCCAACGGGCTTCTGAAAATATGAGGCTCGCTCCTCATCAAAGGGATTCGAATAAAAACAATGAGATTTTTCCTTCGGGTTTATCATATTGGCAGCTATGAAAGAGAACGTTAAACCTTGTTGACCGGGAGCCGAGAAAATGCACTCTCATGCTAGTCGTAGTATGAATTGTTGTAAGCCGGCAGTTTGAAAATACAAATGGACATTTTAAGCATTTGCACCTTTGTTTAGAAAGACCTAATAATCTATGCGAAAAGCATATGTATGCTACATATAAACAACGTAGCATTTAAAAACATAGCGTTTAGCTAGTTAAACGTGTCTGTAGCAGGAATACTATGATTTTGCCATACAATAAAATAATCCCTGTGTCTAAAGATGGTGGCTAATTCACGTAGTATTACGTGTCTCTAAAAGAATACATTAAATGCACTGTAGTTAGGAGGAAATAATAGACGATATTTGGGTTTATATTTTCTATGGATTTTCGGTTTTCTTAACAAATGGAAGCAATACAGTCGTGTAGGTGTCAGTATCAAAAAGCTTGTAGACTGTTTGTGTGAAAAATAAATCTGAAAGGCTATACTCCATTGTGATAAAGGTACTTATTAGTAAGAGCTGAAACTGTGAATAATTCTTATTTTCTATTTTTATAAGATTTTGAATTTGATGGATAAATATGCATTGAATTTATGATTTTTAAAAACTATAAACATATTTTCAGACAAGACAAAAGTAAAGGTAAAGATTAACAGGCACACACAATAGTCATGGCAGAAATTGACATAATCATTATGGATTAAATAAAGAAAATAAAAATGGAGTATTACTGATATAGAAAACCTGAATTATAGAAGAAATAATTCTGAAATCATTTATTTATTTCTCTTGCTTTGAACACAGAAAATCCCTTCTGCCATACAAAAGCCTAGAGATGATTTAACAGCACTTCAAAATCATTACGTCACTGTACCTCAATAAATCTCATTGTAAAACAAAATACAGGGTCATTATATCCATGAACTAGTACAAAAATGACTATATGTATGAGGTCTCATGTTAATATAATATACAATGAAAAGTGAACTTGCTTGAAATACATATCAAAGCATAATTAATTGACACACATCAGATGTAAATATCTATGGTGTTTAAAACATATATACATATATACATATATAAAATATTCTATTAGCTAGAGGGGCTGGGCTGCGGCTCACTGATGGAGCACATGCCTGCCGTGTGTGAAGAGACCCTGGGTTCAATTCCTAGTACTGAAAAATAAAACCAACAGAAAGTAAATGTACAAGAGGCAGTCATCCTAAACATCTAACCACAAGGAAGAGAAAACGGTACAGGATTCAAGACAATGACTAAACGGAATTAGAGTTGAAGCTATAAAAATGGGCTTTGTCTCTAAAATAGAAGCCAACATGAAAAGCTACCAGCAATGCCTGATTTTAGAGAGTGGCAATTCACATCTGTTACAATGTGTTTAACTTTTCTGAAAATAAAGAGAAATTTAATATTATATTATAGGTGATCTTTAATTACTCCTAAAGGTAAATGCTATTAACAAAAATGGGGAAGAAGAAAACACTTAAAATTTAAAGAAGGCTGAATACTTTTGAGACAGTACGAATTGAAATTCTTAGTAGAATGGAATTGATAAGCATAATTATAACGAGAATATATATCTCAATAATTACCACAAGATTCCCCTATAGGTAGTTTAAGGAACTTGGTACTAATAGAAATTTCTAGGCCCTATCCCAAGCCAACTGAAATAAGTGCTGAACAAGAATCTGCATTTTTTTTAGCAGGTCCATGTTTAATAACATTTGATTTATGGGGTATTATGTGAATAAATTCAGAGTCAAATTTATACATTTTAAGACTTTAAATATCAAATAATAGCAAAAATAAGTGTATTAGACATTCAAATAGAGAGGAGAGCAGAGAAAACAGAAAGAGGTACCTGACATGCCAGCCATAAAAGAAAACCAGCAAAGATCAACAAACAATATATCACTCCCTTCATCCTTTTCTCTTACCCTTCTTTTTTCTCTTTCTGCCATATTTTTCTTTTTGTGAGATACTAGAAAGACATTTTATCTTGTTTAAATATGAAAGCAACGGAACATACCATCTATAAAACTGTAAAAGAGCTGAGCCAGACCATACACAAGGTCCCAGGTTCTATTCCCAGCACCACAAAAATCAGTAAGTAAAGATTTGAAAGACAGTGTAGTGCTGGACATTGACACAGTTGCTACAGAATGCCTAAGCCTGCTCTTCATAAGCATAACCTGAATTACTTTTCGTAGCTATGGCAGGGAACAAGAACTTCATATTCCTCTGGGAAATGAAGGCCAACTTACAGTGAAAGTATATGAAAACATTTAGATAATATTACTGAGCACTTCTACCTTTATGATTGTATCCTAAAAAAAAACCCCTAAGTCCTGCATTAGTAAAATGCATTGTCTTCCTGGAGTGGATCTACAGAACCCAAAGAAAATTCTGATCATTCTTCATTCTTGTGGATACACATGGCAGAAAAAAAATAATAATAATTTCATTACAACTAGAGAAACAGTTGTGTACTGAGGGCAAAATTTGAGACAATTAGACTGGAATAAAAAGTCCATCACAGTCACCGATTGCTGTGTGATAGTATTAGAGCAATACAATCATTTCTCTATAGTGTAAGTTCTTTACCAGCTACAATGGGACTAAGAAACATGCTCTTAGAAGCTGTGCTAGTTCATGAGAGTGAGACAGACAGGGAAACAGAGATAGACAGAGACAGAGAGACAGTGACAGAGAGAGAAACAGACACAGAGAGGGTAATTCCTCTGTTATATATCCCTCTGGGAAAATAAGAACAATAAAATACATTTACTCTTGGCAAATCAAATTACACAATTAAATCTAAAAATATCAAGCGACACAAAAGAGCAAATATACAATTTACTTAGCGCATAGTCTGCTCTGGGGTTATATTTTCTACTTTGACGCTCGTTGCAATCTTCTAATAATTTTTTGCTTTGTTCATTTACTTTACATATAAATAAGTAATGTGCAAGTCAGGCTTTCTTGAATGCCCAGAAATTCTAGTGCTGCATATCCACTTTAATCTCTGGGATGTAAGTTATGAACTGGCAATTCATGGGCTGGCTTCGGCCTGCCAACACCTAAAACTTGGCAAATGTCCCAAACAGAGATTTATGACTTCAGTTTCAAAACTAGATGATCTGGTTACATTGAGTTCATACCATGCCATAATTTGCCTGGAGGTGAATAGTGGCTGCATTCTTTAGATAAGGTGTGAATGCTGATTTGCTAGTGGATATCACAGCTGCTTCATTGATTTTCTTATTTGGTTGGGCCTCCACAATTCAGAATGTTTGATGCTTTTAGTAGGAGCCTCTGTTTTGCTTTCTTTTACTCTGTCTCTTAAAAGCTTAAAGCCATGAAGCGCTGGAGTAAACTGCACAAGACCAAGAAGATAACTAGTTCACTTTCTTGGAAGGGTGTGATAGTTACGTTAAGGCGAATATAATTATGTCAGTAAGGAGCGCATAGTGTCTCTTGGTGATGATGGTAATGATGGCTATTATCTTTCCTCCAAATTATGTATTCACAGTTTTTCTCATCAGAAGTATATGATTTTGAAGAAAACTGGAACTTGAAAAAAACTAATGAGCTGAAAGTGAATATCTGCCTCCCTGTGTTTCGTAGAATAGGATTTTGTGTTACAAATAACGCAAGAAACTGAAATGGCCTTCATGATGGCCTTCAAAAAGAATTTAGAATTAAGTTTGCTCAATATTTACAAAATCTGGCTCCAGCTGCATATGTGGCAGAAGATGGCCTTGTCTGGCATCAGTGGGAGGGGAGGCCCTTGGTCCTGTGGAGACTTGATGCCCCAACATAGGGGAATACTTGGGTGGTGAGGTGGGAGTGGGTGGGTGGGTTAGGGAGCATCCTCATAGAAGCAGGGGGAGGTGGATGGGATAAGGGGTTTTCAGAGGGAAATCAGAGAAGGGGGACAACATTGAAATGTAAATAAATAAAATAACCAACAAAAAATTTACAAAATCAATGGGAGGTTGAAAGAAAAAGAGAGAAAAAGAGGGGGAATTCTTAGATTAAAACATTAAAATAAAAATAATGTGGAGGGCTGGCTAAGAAGAAGAAAGTGTTTTCTAGTAGAGTAGAAATGAGTAAAACTGGTTTTTTTCCCAATCTGATTCACACCCATAAAGAAGACAAAGTAGAAATACCCAGATAAGACAATCCTACAATTTTAGTGGTCATCCAAGTATAATATCTGTAAGAATAGAACAGCATCTGTAGGAGATTCTGTAGCCATGAAAAATACTCTGGGGATGGCAACAGAAAATTCAAACTCTCATACTGATGACAAAAAACAAGTTGAGTCAGGAGGTCTCTAACCTGTATCATTCAAGGCAATAGTCTATAAAGCTATCAGCGCAGTCTTTTAAAA